ACGTCTCAAAAGCTTGTTTTAACGCTCAGTAATAAGCGTTAGAAAATCGCTTCGGTAAAATTCACCCAGTGTAACTCCAATGCTATGTGGCATAAATAAGTGTAACTCCGGAGGGTAAAGATTGCAGAATTGTCTACAAAAAAGTCTACATTCTGTTAGTTTTGAATTATTCGTATTTGACAGCAAAAGTAAATCAAATCCATTCACATTATGAATGTTGTAGGTAAGTACTATTGTTTAAATAGCTCAGTGCAAGATGTTAGCAGATTAACAGTAAATTTTGTTCATAATCTTATATAGAAGAAACTATAGCCATCTGTGTTTGCATTAACCGTGTTCTGTCGAAAGAGCTTCTAACAGATATAAAAATCTTTTTATTTGTAAAACTAATGTAGAATAATTTTTATTGTTTCTAGAAAAAGTACAGGAGAAAAATATATTTTATATAATTTTAGTAAAAGATGGTTTGGTTACAGTACCAAAACAATGGTTAACAAATGACAAGAAATATACATCTTGGCCATCGAATGTAAATTCAGCCCAACGTATCAACTTGATTAAATCTTGTGCTGAAGTAAACGTACAATGGGAAAAATATGAGATAGAATTTATATATGGGGCAGCAGGTAAATATTGATCTATTCTTAAAATTAAAGTATACATTTATTTAGTCTTGCAAAAATTTCAATTGCTTGAAATTTGTCTTCAATTTCAAGCAATTGAAATTTTTGCAAGACTAGTAATTGATTTTAATCTTAATTTTAATTTTGCATATTCTATGGTAAATCATTGACTTATATAAATATTAAGATACGTAAATATCAGATTATCTTTATATATATATATGTTTTATAAAAAACACAAAAAGAAAGTTAATATGTAATTATAAAGCATCATATATGTATAATTATATGTATAATAATTATAAATAATATATGGTCATACTTATAGGTTGTATAATATTGTATATATATATGTATAATTATATATATGAAATATATATAATCGCTTAGAAAAATTTAGAAGAATTTTATATAAGATTACGTATTTGTAATCTTATAAGGCTTCTGATAAGTAATTTTATTTATTTGATACATTATATATGATGATAATAATAAAAATAATTACAATTGGCAATAAATACTATATGCGTGAACGTACAAATATAAAATATATGGCCATATTTGTATTATATTAGTATTATATGGATTTTTTCTTGAGAGTTTATCAAAAGATTCATGATTTTCATCAACTACAAATTTATTGAATTTATAAAAATAAATTTTATTAATAATAATAGAAATAATAATAATAATTATTCTTATTTTTATAAATAACGTTTTTTATCAAAAGAAACTTATCAAAGGGCTCGAGAAAAAGAAAAATTAGCAGAGAAAATATCTAACATTAATACTGCTTCAAATGAAGAGAAAAACAAGCGTAACAGGAAATTACGGAAAAAAAAACATTTACTAGTTCTGACTCTCAAGATAATGAGTCTCAAGATGATGATGTTGTTGAAAAGTTGTCGAAGAAATAAAAACCTCTACAACTGACGTATACAAAACCATCTTTAAAAGCTACATCTATGTCCAGGGTAATGAGAAATATAGATTATTATGAAAAAAATAAATCAGATTCCGATATTGAGATGGAAGAAGTGATTGATGAATATCAGAAATCAAACAATTCAGGTTCTCTGAAAGATAGAATTGACAACTTTTGGGAAAAAAATGTTACACGTAACACAAGTCAAGAAACTACGAGTAAAATCGATTTTCATGTTTGGAATATTACCATATAAGCATTAAACTTTAGGTTTTATATGTACTTATAAATTATATCAATTAAAAACAAATAATATTACTGGTGCTTGTTTTTCCGCAGAAGACAAAAATTTCAAAACATTTATTATTAAAAGTTTGATAGAAATTACTAATCNAGTAAAGAAATGCGAGTCTTTATTGAACAAGAAACAGAACAATTTTTCTGAGCAATTGGAAAATCAGATTTCCGATACTGAAAACAACATCTTAGATGAAAAATTTCCCATGACAAGTCTTGATGATGTAAGAAACATTGAACAATTAAAAAGTGACAAAACATTAAAAACACAAGTTGTAAGTGTGTGAATAAAAATTTTATCGAATACTAAAATGTGTATTTGCATGTTTATTAGTTGTTTAGAAAAATTTGGATATTTTTTAAATTGAAGAATATTTATTTGTAATAGAACTAATATTCNTATTACTTATTGTTTTATTTGTTTTTTTTTAATGTAAATATTTCAATATTATCCTAAATACCATGTTATTACAATTAATTTTTTTTCCAGACATCGGCACTTTATTTCTCTGCAAAAAGTACTATGAAAAAAAACAGTTACAAGGATTATGAAACTATTATTTACAGACGAAGTAGCTGCAAAATTTAGTTGGACTGGACAAAAAGAAAACAAGCAAAAGTTTGAAGCATTATTTTTATGGAATGTTATATTTATATGTATAGATTTATAATTTTATTTAAAATTTTACTTGTACTTTTGCAAAAACAGGATAGTTCAGATATTACAAAATAGATGCAATATTTTAATATTTACATTTTTTTACGTATATAACTATGATAATTATAAGAATGTACTTTTTCACTAACAAGGGAACCTCGCGAATCCGAAAATTCTGATTTTGATAAAANCGGATATCTGGCAGATATTGATTCGGTCGGTCGCTATATCGAATAACAACTGCGCCAATGTTCTTTCTCAACATAACCTAAAGAATTAGGAGAATTAATAATTGTGGTTGTTTTCTTGAAAACAAACATACTACGATGGATTTGTTGCTTGTGAATAACAACATTTTTGAACTTNATAATGATGATGATTATGATGATATGGAATTTGTAGAAAGAAGACCATATACAATGAGAAAGAAACCGGACAATTTTCAAAAATGGGATGACATAGAATTTTTTGAAAGATTTTGTTTGAAAAAAAATACTGTACTTGAATTATTGTGCACAATTGAAAATCGATTGTTAGTACTCTGGAACAAATAAGTATTAATAATACAGTTAATAATAAAGTTAGTTTATTAAACGACATTACTTGTGGAGTAGTTGTTGATTTATATTTTATAATATTATGTTTTGTACTGTAATTTTAAGATCAAGATTATTGACACCGATCAACCAGTTACTATTAACTTTGAGATTTTATGCCATGGGTAATTTTCTGCATGCTTGTGGCGACTTTAGTGGAGTAAGCATTAGTACAGCTTCTCGAGTCGTTGCAAAAGTATCTATGATTATTGCTTCTTTATCAGCAACAATGATCAATATGCCTCAATCAATTATGGAAATTCGCACAATGCAACGGGCATTTTATGAAATGTACAAATTCCCAAGAGTTGGATGCATGGATGGAACACATATTAGGATACAATCTCCTGGTAGGTTAAAACAAAATGTAAACTATGAACTATAAAAAAAGTAAACTATCTAAACTGTCAAAACTGTACCTATCTAAACTGTATTTACTGTTACATTAACCCTCCGGAGTTACACTGGGTAAAATTTACCGAATCGAAACTAACATTTGTGTGTATCTTCGGAGAGGGGAGAGGGGGGGTCTGGTTAGTGGCTTGAAAAATACGTCTCAAAAGCTTGTTTTAACGCTCAGTAATAAGCGTTAGAAAATCGCTTCGGTAAAATTCACCCAGTGTAACTCCAATGCTATGTAGCATAAATAAGTGTAACTCCGGAGGGTTAATTCTAATAAAATAATTGAGAGTTTATATTTACTCATTTTATATAATAAATAATAGTCATAACCAATTTTTTTAGGAAATGAACATGCAGAAGAATTTAGAAATCGAAAAGGATTCTTTTCTCTCAATACGCAAGTTGTCTGCGATTATAAGATGAGAATTATAGACATAGTGGCTAGATGGCCGGGTTCTGCTCATGATGCAACAATCTTTCAACATAGTCGACTACGTCGAAGATTCGAGGAAGGCGAGTTTCATTCAGGAATATTACTTGCTGACGGCGCATATCCAAACAGAAAATATATTCTTTCTCCTCTTTTGCATCCAAATACTGTCGCCGAAAATCGTTACAATTACGCTCATATACGAACGAGGAATATTGTTGAACGAGTATTTGGAGTTTGGAAACGTCGATTTCCAGTTTTGAGTTTAGGTATGAGACTTAAAATTCAGACTGTGCAAGACATCATTGTAGCAACAGCAGTTCTCCACAACATAGCCAGAAATCAAAACGAAGAAGAACCTCCAGTATATGTGGATGTGCCTGACAAAGAAATTGGAAATAATAATGGGGATCAACTGGAAGAGTAGAAGTAGCGGACAATAGTGTATAAGACGAGCACTCANATAATGATGATGATTATGATGATATGGAATTTGTAGAAAGAAGACCATATACAATGAGAAAGAAACCGGACAATTTTCAAAAATGGGATGACATAAAATTTTTTGAAAGATTTTGTTTGAAAAAAAATACTGTACTTGAATTATTGTGCACAATTAAAAATCGATTGTTAGTACTCTGGAACAAATAAGTATTACTAATAAAGTTAATAATAAAGTTAGTTTATTAAACGACATTACTTGTGGAGTAGTTGTTGATTTATATTTTATAATATTATGTTTTGTACTGTATCTTTAATATCAAGATTATTGACACCGATCAACCAGTTACTATTAACTTTGAGATTTTATGCCACGGGTAATTTTCTGCATGCTTGTGGCGACTTTAGTGGAGTAAGCATTAGTACAGCTTCTCGAGTCGTTGCAAAAGTATCTATGATCATTGCTTCTTTATCAGCAANAATGATCACTATGCCTCAATCAATTATGGAAATTCGCACAATGCAACGGGCATTTTATGAAATGTACAAATTCCCAAGAGTTGTTGGATGCATGGATGGAACACATATTAGGATACAATCTCCTGGTAAGTTAAAACAAAATGTAAACTATGAACTATAAAAAAAGTAAACTATCTAAACTGTCAAAACTGTACCTATCTAAACTGTATTTACTGTTANATTAATTCTAATAAAATAATTGAGAGTTTATATTTACTCATTTTATATAATAAATAATAGTCATAACCAATTTTTTTAAGAAATGAACATGCAGAAGAATTTAGAAATCGAAAAGGATTCTTTTCTCTCAATACGCAAGTTGTCTGCGATTATAAGATGAGAATTATAGACATAGTGGCTAGATGGCCGGGTTCTGCTCATGATGCAACAATCTTTCAACATAGTCGACTACGTCGAAGATTCGAGGAAGGCGAGTTTCATTCAGGAATATTACTTGCTAACGGCGCATATCCAAACAGAAAATATATTCTTNCTCCTTTTTTGCATCCAAATACTGTCGCCGAAAATCGTTACAATTACGCTCATATACGAACNAGGAATATTGGTGAACGAGTATTTGGAGTTTGGAAACGTCGATTTCCAGTTTTGAGTTTAGGTATGAGACTTAAAATTCAGACTGTGCAAGACATCATTGTAGCAACAACAGTTCTCCACAACATAGCCAGAAATCAAAACGAAGAAGAACCTCCAGTATATGTGGATGTGCCTGACAAAGAAATTGGAAATAATAATGGGGATCAACTGGAAGTAGAAGTAGCGGACAATAGTGTAAGACGAGCACTCATCGATGAGTATTTCTCAAGGTAACTTTAATGATAAATTTTACAAAAATATAAAATATTCATTTTTCAAACAACAGATATGTTTGTTTAACAACTTTTTGTTTTTTGCACATAGTTTTTAGTTTCTATATATCTATATATTTATAGTTTTTATATATCTAATATCTTTATTCTATCTGAACACTTTATTAACTTAATACATTATTCGTAACATAAATAACTTAATGTTTTGGCACTTTTTACAAGTGTTATGTTATATATAAGGTATGCTCTTTGTACTTTATAAAACTTTTTGTATTTTATGCTTTTTGTAGATTGTAGAAGTAGAACAACATACTGCTTCATGAGATCACAACATGAGATCACAA